GCCCCGCGGCGCGCCGGTGCATGTCGGGCGGGCGCAAGCGCCCTTCAAGCGTGGCGGCTGTCCGCCCTCCGCGCCCACGCGCCTGCCAGGGTGATGCTGGGCACCGGCGCGCCGCCAAGGTAGGGAGCACAGCAGCTTCGATGCGGTGAAGGGGTTGGGGGGCAGATTAGCTCTCTGGCTGCTGCTGGGGTGGTGTCAGGTGGCATCTGTAACATTCCTAATCCATCTGTGGGGTTCCATGGCTGTTGCCCACGGCCAGGTCAGCGCACGGCCATGGGTGTGCCAAGGCTGCGGCTACCCACGCATCTGTCAACGCGGCCTGGTTGGATCTTTGCAGTCTGGCGGATTGCAGGCGTAGTACGTAAGAGAGGGAGCTGTGTGTCCGGGAGCTTCTCTAAGGATGCGTTGCTGCAGGTCTGGGCCCAAGCTGACGAGCGCTTGAGCTTGGCAGGCTGGGGGCGCCGCCAGACATGGCAGGGGGGGGGGGTTAACCACTGGGGCGTTAACAACTTTGAGCAAAGATTGTAGAGTGTGTGCTGCGCCTTTGTATGTGGAGCGACATTGTCAGAGTTGTTGAGACCTGCCAACTTAGATGCCGTCACAGGCAGATGTCATGTGCAATTGTGCATGTCAACCCGCTGTTGACGACGTGGCAGCCAGGTCAGCACGGGAGTTCCGGGTGATTTCCGAAGGAGATGTGAAACGCACAAATAATTTCATGACTGCATGCACACCTAAGGCTTTCCGAGGGATGATTTGCAGTCCCCCGAGGGAGTCTACCGTACTGTACAATGGGAAACAGGTACGGTATCGTATCACACCTTATCATATCACATCAGGCGGTGATCCGATGCGGTCAGGAAGCGCACACAGCCACTCTACGGTGCGCAGCACGGCTCTGCGTGCTTTATCGTAGATCACAGCACGCTCCGCACGACCGCCTCGTCCGACACGCACACAGGCAGAAACATTAGATACGGTATGAGCTCAAATGTGTCTGACGACACCAGAAGCGGCAGCGCCGCCAGCAGCAGCGACGCCCCTGGGGCGTCGCCGAGCGCTCCAAAGCAAGCTCCGGCTTTGCGCCTCGAGCGCGAGCTGCAGCATGTGCTGGCCCTGCGCCTGCCCACAACCTCCAGCCAAGACCACGCGCGCCGCTCGCCGCAAGCCGCGGCCGCGATCAAGGGTGTGGCCGCTGCGGCCGCCGAGCTGGAGGGGCCGCTGCGCCCACAGCACCTGCAGCTGATTGGGGAGCTGCAGGCGCACCTGGATGAGGCGGTGGCCCAGGGCGAGGAGGCGCAGGCGGCGCTCTTGATGGATGCTTGCGTCGCCACTCTCAAGGGCAGAGACTGCGGCAGTGGGCCTTTAGGCTCCAGGGCAACCGCCAACACAGAGCGGTTATCTCAGGTGCGGTGCATATACGGCTGCAATGGTGCAGGCGGACAAACACTGGGCTGATCATAGCCTTGGTATCAAGCTGCAAAATGAGCTTAATTGCCGCATAGGATTGCCTGCTGATCTTGACCCTGCCGACCCGGCCCTTGCTGACCTTGACCCTCGATCGCCCCCGTGCCTCCCACCAACCTCAGCTAGCTGCATCGCCCGGCCTGGCTACGAGCATCCTCGCCTCCCTCGTACGCTGGCCGGGCAACCCCAGCGTCGCAGGGAGCTCGGGATCACTCATCTCGCGCCTCTGGCCGCCGACGGCCTTCGCCGTCGAGCTGTCACGCATCCCCCCTCGCTCTCTGAGCGCCATGATTGGCTCGCTCGCGTCAGCCGCCAGATCCAGCAGGTCCGAGGACGAGGCCGCCGGCAACGCCCTCGGATGGCTCTCAACACTGGCGGTGCTGCTGGACGCGCCGCCGCACGGGGGTGGTCACGACTCCCTCGCAACCTGCGCCCGGGAAGCCGCTGCGGCCGCGTTTGGCGCGCTGGCCGATGCGCTGTGCGGGCCGCTGCGCCAGGAGCCAGGCCGGCTGGGCGTTGCCGCACGCAGATTGGTGGTGCTCACAAGCTGCAGTGAAGCCGCGTGCGCCGCAGCCGCGTCCACGCCGCGCCTCGCGGCGGCACTGGCGGCCGCGCTCGCGGGCGGCCCGCTCACTGCCACGCCGCCCGGTCACGGCGGCAGCGGTGACGCGGCGGCCGGCGCGGGGGCCGAGCTACGGGTGCAGTGCGCCTCGCTGATCAGCTGCATGCTGACCGTAAAACCCATCCAGCTGAGGACACGAGTGGCGAACGAGGTTGCGGGCGTGCCCAGCACGCTGGCCGCGCTTGTGAGGCTGTTGGACCACCCCAGCCCTGTCATTGCCGCCGAAGTAGCACAGGCACTTCGTCTTATTGCCCACTTGACCCCGGCCGCGGACAATGCAATCAAGTGCCTCCCTGTCGCTGCGTCGCTTGTGAGCCTGCTGCGCCGTCACACTGGTTGCGAGGAGGAGCAGGATACCGCAAGGCACAGCGCAACAATGCTTGCGTCGCTCCTTGCGCAGCCCGAAGAGCTCCGCCCGTGGCACTGCGTCTCTCCCACCGCGGTCGAGCTCGCCAGGCTCATGGCGGCGGCCCCTGTCGCCATGTCAATGGTCGCCCGGGAGCTGGCAGAGTGCGACGTGTCGCCGGCGGCAGGGCTCGACTCGCTGGTGCACGTCATCGCCGCCTCCAGCCTCGTTGGCCAGATCGTATTGGCGGCCAGCTCGCCCCGCGACGACCCACAAATCCTGCACCAAATCGCAGCTGGCACGCCGGCCCTGCTGCCCGCTGTCGCCCGGGCGCTGCAGCGCCTGCTGGACAGCCCCTATGACCTCAAGCCCTGGTTCGCAGGTCGGGACCCGTCGAGCACGGCAGCCGACGTCGGCAAAGCGTGCATAGCTCTCGCAGCGGCCGCATCTATGCTGCTGATTTACGTCGAGGCTCAATCAGGGGGCGCCATGGCAGCCGTGCAAACAGCGGTGCCGTTGCTGGTGCCATCGTTGCGGCACGCCGTGCAGCAGGCTAGGCCAGCCAATGCAGAACGCGCCACTGTCGTGCAAGACGCATTCTTGAATTGTGTGGAGCGCGTGCTGCGGCTATTGGAGGCCGGGCAGCAGGCGGAGGCGCCGCCGCTATCGGATCCGGTGCTTCCGCCGCGGGCGATGCAAGCTCGGGCGCCGGCGCTCACCGGCCGCGCCTTTGCGGCTGCCTCGGCCTCAACGAGCATCCCACAACAGCAACCGTGCTGCGGGGCGTGCGGCAAGACCGCCGCCGACGGCGCGCGGCTGCGGCTGTGCAGCGGGTGCCGTGCGGCGCGCTTCTGCTCTGACGCCTGCTACAAGGCGGCGTGGAAGGCGGGCCATCGGCAGGAGTGCAAGGCGGCGGCGGCGGCAGCGGCGACGGCGGCAGCGGCGGCGCGTGGCCGGCCGGGCATGCAGGCAAAGTAGGGAGCACAGCAGCTTCGATGCGGTGAAGCTGCTGTGCTTCCTACTTTGCTGGGTGAGGCTAGGGGGCAGGCTAGCTCTGTAGCTGCTGTTGGGGTGGTGTTAGTTGGCATCTGCGGGGTTGCAGGGCTGTTGCCGGCGGCCTGAGGTCAGCGCACGGCCCTGTGTGTGCCAAGGCTTCAGGTACCCACGCATCTGCCAACGCGGCCTGGTTTAACTTTTGCAGTATGGCGGATTGCATGCGTAGTAAGAGAGGGAGCTGTTTGTCCGGGAGCTCCTCCGAGGGTGTGCTGCTGCAGGCAGGTCTGGGCCCAAGTTGACGAGCGCACTGCTTGAGCTTGGCAGGCTGGGGGGGCCCCCAGACATGGCGGTGATGGCTGCCGACGGGGCGCTTTGCGTGACAAGTGCTTCGCTTAGGGGCACTCACAAATGTTGGAGAAGACTGTAGAGTGTATGCTGCGCCTTTGTACGTGGAGCGACATTGTCAGCGTTGTTGAGATCATGAGACCTGCCAACGATGCTGTCACAGGCAGATGTGCATGTCAACCCGCTGTTGACCGCGTGACAGCCAGGTCAGCACGGGAGTTCCAGGGGATCCCCGAAGGAGATGGGAAACGCACGAATGTTTATGGACTGCATACTTGCCTAGGGATTTCCGAGGGGTGATTTGGAATTCCCCGAGGGATTCTACAATGGGAAACAGGTATCGTATCACACCTTATCATATCACAAAAAGCGGTGATCCGATGCGGTCAGGAAGCCCACACAGCCACTCTATGGTGCGCAGCACGGCTCTGCGTGCTTTATCGTAGATCACGCCTGCACAGCACGCTCCGCACAACCGCCTCGTCCGACACGCACATAGGCAGAAATATTAGATACGGTATGACCTCAAATCCATCTGACGACACCAGAAGCGGCAGCGCCGCCAGCAGCAGCGACGCCCCTGGGGCGTCGCCGAGTCCAAAGCAACCTCCGGCTTTGCGCCTCGAGCGCGAGCTGCAGCATGTGCTGGCCCTGCGCCTGCCCACAGCCTCGAACCAAGATCACGCGCGCCGCTCCCCGGAAGCCGCGGCCGCCGTCGAGGGCGTGGCCGCCGCGGCCGCCGAGCTGGAGGGACCGCTGCGCCGGCAGCACCTGCAGCTGATTGGGGAGCTGCGGCGGCGCCTGGACGAGGCGGTGGCCCGAGGCGAGGAGGCCCAGGCGGTGCTCTTGATGGACGCTTGCGCCGCCACGCTGGAGGGCAGGAACGGCGCGAACGGGCCTGCGGGCGCCCGGGAGCGGGCAGCTCAGGTGCGTTGCACAGCCGCGATCATCCGTCGGGCCCCCGTGATGGTGGGGGCGGGCAAATCTTGGACTGATCAAAGCACTCTCGGCGCTCTGCTGCAAATTGTGGTACGACACCACATCAGGCTCGATTGCCACACCCGCACCCTGTTCACATAGACCCTTGACTGCCCACTCTTTTCACCAAACCCAGCTGGCCGCTTCGCCCGGCCTGCTCTCCAGCATCCTCGGATGCCTCCTGCGCTGGCCGGGCAACCCCAGCCTCGCGACGAGCCCAGCGCCCCTTATCAGGCACCTCTGGGCGCAAGCCGCGCCCGCCGGGCGCGCGGCGCCGTGCGTCGCCCTTCGCGATTACAGCGCCGTGGTCGGCCGCCTCGCGGCAGTCGTCGAGTCTGACAGGTCCGGGGCCGCGGACGCCGCCACCGCCCTGAGATCGCTCGCAACGCTGGCGGCGCTGCTCAGCGAGGGGCCGCGAGAGGGCGGCCGGGACGCACTCTCAACCCGCGCCAGGGAGGCCGCCGTGGCTGGGTTCGGCGCGCTGGCCAAGGCTCTGCGCGGGCCGCTGCGCCAGGAGCCAGGCCTGCTGAGCGATGCCTTCTACAATTTGGCGGCGCTCGCGCGCGGCAGCAACGACGCGTGCGTCGCAGCTGCGTCCACGCCGCGCCTCGCGGCGGCGCTGGCGGCCGCGCTC